GCCTCGGAAACCACGTAAAGCCTTTGATCCCGCACCTGAATTCTCCCCGGTCTTTTCGGACTGCCATCCCATCCGACTATGAGAGTAAAGAAATGGGAGTGCACCTGTGCTTGCGCATACACTTGGGCACTATAATCCTGTCCTGCGAAGATGGCTAGTCTCCATTATGGCTGATCGCCGTGACCGAAATTCGATCCAGAAGACATTATTTATAATATTATGAGAGCTACTCATTAAGTATGTCTTTACTGAGACTAATTGATATTTATGGTAAAATGGAACCTAAAAAGTACATATAACCTAAGTAAATGTAACTCGAAATTAAATGAATTGACATACTAAAAAAGTTATTATTAAAAATTATTTCTTTTCGTACATTATAATGATACGTACATAAAGTTAAAGTTGCAACCTATATACACGTCCCACTGCTGGGTGGAGGCCCGTTCTCATTTCTGAGAAGATTTTAGGGCAAGTAAAAGTCCGCCGGGCTGCCGTTGGCGAACTTCACATGCCTTCGATTTTTTTTTCTTACTTCTCATACATGCATGTTTCCCCGCGATGTTTTCCTTCACTGTCGAGCACATGCTAAATCAGCAATTTTCAATATCATTGATGCTGGTGAGGATCGAAACCGGGTTGCTCGCGTACTGTGAAATTTACATTTCGTACATTCCGTACATTTCAGGGGTTTATATATATAAACCCTGAGATACAACGGCTATATCTATTTTGGTGTAATAGTTTCTCCATTATTTTTTTTTATAAAACTGAAGTGACAAACGAATTGTCGAACGAACAGTAGTCCATCTGATGGTAAGTGGATGCTGCAAATATATACACCAGTGCATGTGGCATGCTTTAACCGGTTCAGTGCGGATGGCACGCCTTAAAATCGTTATAACTCGCTCAAATTGCGTTTTTGGAAGATTTATCCAGAACAAAATATTCATTATTTTGCAAGTAGTTCATACCTACTACTTCGTATCTGAATATTTTGAAAATTTTAAATTTTTAGGGGTTGACAACTTTTTTTTAACTTGTACATGGTACTAAAAAGTATAAAAAAGAATTAAAAATTTTTCACGACACTCCAGGCGTGTCATGAAATATTTGTACGCCGCCACAGCTAAAAGTTGTCGAAAATCGGTGCTGCAACGAATCGGTTAAAAAAAGAATGCGAAGAGACGTCTTGTCCCTTCTGAGGACCAAGATGCCTAACAGCCTGTAATTATACTGGCTCTCTAAACCCATCAAACCAAAACACAGCAGTGCTCACACTGCTGCTTGACGGTAGACAGAAGAAACAAGTAAGACGATGGTACCGACACAGACAGACTGCTAGGCTGAAGAGGTGTCCTCCTACCCAATAATTTAGTTGTCATCCAAAATTACTTAACTTAAATGCCATAGACTGATGATATCTTTCTCAACCGCGCACGGCAGTGAAAGCAGGTTTTTACGTGGTAGAGCCATGCTGCAGCTATATTAGTAGTATAGTTGTAGCACGAATGGATCGGCTCGACCGGGGAAGGACCACGCTCTCACAGGATTCCAGCGTAAAATAGTAGCTCAAAACTGCTGTATTTCGTATGGTGAGTGTAGAGAATCGGAGACCCTTTTTACTGGAAAAGAGGAATTCCATCTTAGTCTTCACGGTTGACGACGCATCTGCATTTTGATTCGTATTCGAGGATAGAGGTCCATGGGCCACAGCAACCACTTACCATCAGGTGGACTGTGTGCTCGTTTGGCACCCTATCCTATAAAAAAAACACTGCTATTTGGCAGCAAAAGTACGTAAGAGGGTGATTATCTTTTTTTTAAGTATAAGGGTCAACAGTCCATCTGATGGTAAGTAAATGCTGTGGCTCATAAGCATCTTCATCTATCAACGATTAGGAATCAAAATGCACATGCGTTGCCACTCCTGAAGACTAAGATGAAATGTATGTATCGTTTCCAGTAAAAGGGGTCTCCTATTTAAAGTCTATTTTGCGCTGGTATTCTATGAGAGCGTGGTTATTCCCCGGTCGAGTCGACCCATTCGTGCTACAATCATAATATAGCTGGAGCATGGCCCTACAACTTAAAAATCTCTTTTTTATTCTATAAAAATTTAAAGGACTTTTCCCGCTTAGCGTAGGAAATCTACTCTTCTAGGCAGAAAAGAATTTCTAACACCTAGCACCAAGTCACTACACAATTCTAAATAAATGCATTCGCTATCGCTATAACGAAATTTGAAGGTCTTATTAGAAATAGAAACTTTCTTTTTCGATATAGATTATAAAATAATAATTATTCAAGGTCACTGTTATGTTTAATTTCCCCCAAAGATTTTTAAAAATATCTCTGTCCTGTGAAGAACCAGCAAGAAACTCAGCGAGATTAATCAAATTTCTCTTCATGTGAGTTCGTTTTCAAGTTGGGGGATAATGCTATAAATTTTTTTCTACAAATTTTTTCCCTTTTAAAACTTTCCAGAACTATTGAAAGTAAGGATTAAAAAATTATTTGCGTCACTTTCAACGTATTTTTTATTCCATTAAACAAATTAACAAGTGATGTCTGCTCACAAACATTTCGTCACAATCATACAGTAAACTTAAACATTAACAGAATATTTTATAGTTTACAATAAATAAATGAACTCCCCAGTAATACACAAGAATAAAGACATACATTACACCGAAAGTACCATAACCGTATCAAAAAGAACTTACTGGAAGTAGATTTTTTCTTTTACAACAATAATATAGCGATAAAATAAAATTGCACATAGAGAAAAAAATGTTGTGTTCTCACAAAATATTTTGTAACTTAAATAATATTATTTAAAATAAATGCAAGCTATTTGGGCTGAGTAAAAGTTGATTCATTTTGGTAGAAATTATTTTGATGACGCAATGCTTAATACGATATTGCAAAGAAAATACAATATGTATGCCCTCTTAGAGTAAATAAACACGATGGTACCAAACAACTTCATTTTCAGGATATTTGATAAGAGGAAATACGGGCGGCAAGACAATTGAAGAATAACAGATTTATTGCTGTCGCGCTGTACCCCAACCATCTCGTATGAGACAACGGCCGCTCGGACTTTACAGACTTATTCCCTTGTATCCTCTTCTATAACCGTACCGATTTGATTTTTTTCAAGAGAATTGTGGCTATATTTGTACATTTTTCTTTTATTTTTGACGTGTGTTATATTTGTTTAAAGGATCGACTAAAATCGACGGTATAACCGGATAATTTTAGTAGTTTCAGGAGGTTCCTAGTATAAAAATAATTATTTAATAAAAAAAAACATAAGAATATGGCAGTGGTACATAGATTGTACCGTAAAAATATTTACTTTAGTGTCATTATCCAGGGAGAAAATAGTGAAATACGTTTGAATGAACCAAACGCCGCCCGTATATCCACGTACAACGTGTGAACTACACAACATTAAAATTTAATCTAAATTATCATATTTGTAAATATCAATATAATTATTATTATTATTTAGAGAGGTGCGAACATCGTATTTCCTATAAATTCCAAAACCAAACGACATTTTAAATATAAATGCTTACACACTATATTTCTATTAATAATAGCAACTAGACGTAAGACCAAACTACAAATATTTGTGTTGAGCAATATTAGGAAACAATAACTAAAATAATAAATGCAATTTAAATGCAGCGACAACTAAGTCGAACGATGATTTGATATTAATTAAATTATCATAAAATTCATTGGTGTTTTAATTAAAATACGTATCTATATTATTATAATTCAATTATATATTATTAGAATTATTATCATTGATTTTAACTAAGTACTGAATCGTCGAAACACGTATGTATTAATGACGGTTTAGGTACAGAAGAAAACTAATCTACAATATCTTACAAGTTACCAAATCTAAAAGATAAATATAATATAAAATAACGGTTTTATTTATTACAATGCCTTTGATGGGTCTATAAAGTTCAAGAATATATCTCGTCAGTAATTTTTCACTAAACATTTTTAATTATCTAAATGCGTAATTGCAACTAATGCAGAGTTAAACATCTTACTAGTTAGTGCCATAAAGAAATAACAATTTTTGTAAGGCCGAATAAGAACATAAGAAGTTTTAAATATTGAAGGATACTTTTAAGAGATATCCTTTCGAACAGTACTCTACTGTATAAAGTATTCTTGTAATAAACACAAATAAACTTAGGAATGTTTAATTATACTTAACCTAATGGCATGACTCGACGTTTACTCTTATGAGCTAAATACAAAGAACACGACACAATTGAAGGTAGTTACGAAAAAAGAATCCAACTCACAAAGAGATATATTGGAGATATTGACGTTTAAATTTAAAGTTTAGACCATTATATTAGTGATAATTTCTTTAAATTGTTTGTAATTTATAATTATTTTGTTTCCATGTGAAAGAAGAGAACCTATGAATTATTATGTATAGGTATAACTTATTTCTAACTCGAGGGTTGGATCCCTTTAGCATATCTACGTCCATATTTGAATTAGTATTTTTAAAAATAGGGTGAATTCTGTACAAATCTTATCATAAAATGTATAAATATTCACAACAGTGAAAAATCAGGTTTCAGAGGACTTTGTCCGTAGCACGACTTAGCACCATCGTTATTACTGAGGCCTTTTAGAAAATATCTGAAATTTAGTATAAACCAAGTTTTTTTTAGTAAATTTTGTATAGATAAGGATTTAATACACTTTAACGTTTAAATATAAACGTACATTTAATACAAGACAATCACTGACCATCTCAATATTTTCCAAAATATTATTTTCAAAAATTAGATTGACATATCTATACATAAATAAAACCAAACTTCTGGTTACACTTTAGCGTATTGCAAAATACAGTAGGATGCAGTTTATAAAAATGGACGGAATACAGCAACACGATCATATCGCTAGAAACTAGAACAGTCTTACAAGGAGCTCATATGAACATTAGGTCAGCCTTCATGAGAATGATGTGGGTGGGGAGGGGAGCCCAAGAGTCTTAGAGCCATCCATGCAGCAAGAGAGTGAGATGCCGGCGCTGGTGATATTGGCACTGGGGGCTCGGAGGCCATTCTTGACCGAAGTTTGTGCAGCAGCACAGCAGCGGCTAGAGCTGCACCAGCTGCAGCGCCTGCTGCAGACGCGAATAACGCTCCAAAACTCACTGCACCCATACACACACCGTAGACAACCTGCAACAATGTTATGTTACGATGTAATATCCTCCGGATCGAATTTCGGTCAAGACGGCCAGTCTCATCGGAGACTAGCCATCTACGCAGGACAGGATTATAGTGTCCGCGTGCATACGCAAGCACAAGTGCACTCTCTATTCTCTCACTCTCATATTCCGTTGGTACGGTAATTCGACCGGAGAAAGATCATGTGCAGGACCAATGGATTTACGTGCTTTCCGAGGGAGGCTGCTACTGAAAATTTCTTATCAGAAAAACTCAATAATTTATTTTGACCCGAACCGGGATTCGAACCCGGCACCTCAATATTATCAGTCACTTTTACGATCTCTAGACCAAAGAGACAGTCAAGTTGAGATATAATAAGTGAAACTTATAACTAAAATATGACTATCATACTTTTTAAAATGGCTTTTAAATTATAGTTAGTACCCAATTTTGTTTTCCGTGTAGTGATGGTTTGATGAATGTTTATCATCTCTCATGTCGTAACTGTCGACTATGGGACGTATATGCCAGATGCAATAATATCAGGATCAGTGACGAGGAGTAGAGACATGTATGCGTCATTTGGTTCACTAATATGTTCGCCAAGTAAGGTGATATCACAAATCCTTTCTACAATGGTAGAAGTCCATTTTAATCAGTAAATTTTATCAGTAAATATTTTCGGACTAGTGAAGGCAAAGACGACTACAAGACAAATTCTGTTTCAGTTAAATTTTGTAAGAACACTAAACATCAGTATACATTACAGGAAATTTATCAAAACGAAGTGTTTATGAATTCCTTACCTCTTCCCGTATTCTCCCACTGAAAACAGTCACAGGTTCTCTAGATGGTCCGAATGCTAAGTCTGCTTCAGAAACAACATCGTAAATTCCTGAAACACCGACATCCGCAGATCTGGCGTCACGCACCGTGCGACGTTTTCTTAAGGATCTAGGACCAGCGACAGCTGGACCCCGTGCTTTTGTTGGGATCGCTGATTCTCCTCCCTGTCCTTTATTCATACTCGAAGCTAGATTCCTTGGTCCATGTGGGAAACGTTCGTGTTCAGGCGTACGATCCTGAAATAATACGTAATGAAAATTTTAAATATTACGATATTTTAACTTGAACTTTGTTCGTATATAGTATTTTTACTTTCTTATATATATAATACAGCCTATACACAACTACATACAGGGTTTTAGGGCAAGGAAATGTCGGCCGCGGAGTTCCAATGTGTGTTGGCGAACTTTACACTTCGAAATATTTATTTTACTTATTATTCCAACATGCAGATTTCCTCACGATGTTTTCCTTCACCACCGAGCGTGTGTTAAATCAGCACTTAAAATTGCAATTAACTATTTCATTGGTGCCAGCGAGCACCTAATCATTTCTGTCGCCAACCAACAGTGGACACAGCACTATTTTATTCCGTGTCGAAAGGTAAGAGAGAAAGTACAGTAACAGGCTGTGTAGCATTCCATTTTGTTCCTCAGCAGTGACAACACAGACCTTTGAATAATGTCCATGGGCTATAGTAACCATTTACAATCAGGTGCATAAGGTTTTGTTGCTTAAAGTTGAACTTACAGTGAATGGTCTCTTGTTTAATGATTCGAAAGCGTCTTCCAGAGATGAAATTTGATCAGATTCAGATTCCATGACAGGAGCTGGAGCCCGCTGAGGTAGTGGTGCTGGCGCCGGTACGACGTCACCTGAGACCTCATCTCCGAAGGCTTCCTCCAATGGGAGACGTTGATACTCCTCTGCTAGACTCGTGTCCGAACCTTCAGCAGAAGAGTCACTGCGAAATTATCAAAACAATGAGTTATAATAAACATAGTTTTAAAGAAAATTTTAAATATACAACTTTAGGTCGAACAGCGTACCGTAGTAAGTACCTAAAAGCGTTTGACTGCGCAGCTTCAGTCGTGAAATTGCTATAGACAAGTGTTTTTTTTTTAGGATAGGATGACAAACGAGCACACAGTTAACCTGATGGTAAGTGATTGCTGTGACCCATAACAATCTACATTTATCCTCGTATGCGAATTAAAACGCTGAGGCGTTGTCATCAATGAGGACTAAGATATAATGCCTCTTTTCCAGTAAAAAGGGTCTCCGGTTCTCTACACTCACCATACGAAACGCAGCAGCATAAAGCTGCTATTTGACGCTGGTATTCTGTGAGAGCGTGGTACTTCCCCGGTCGAGCCGACCCATTCGTGCTACAACTATACTACTAATATAGCTGCAGCATGGCTCTACCACGTATAAACAAAAAGCTTATAAGTTTGTACCGATGACGATTTATGTTTATATACTTCAACGTCACAGCAGACATTTTAAAAAGTAACCATTTTTTTAAGAAAGGTATAACGACTTAAGGGAAGAAATACTTAAGGAAAGAAAAAAAATAAACCCTACTCAAAAAGAAACTTGAAAAATAAATTATTGCCGTTTACATTTGAAAACAAAAATAGACCCTTTAGACATTTTGATATAATATATTACTTATTTCTGACACGAGTGTGTTGGATCAATTTTGCATCACTTTTGGAGTCTTTACGAAAGTAAGAATACAGTTAATAAAAAGATAAAGTCATATCGAAATTTACCTGATATCATTATGATCTTGATGTGTTCTATCATCCTTCCTGTCCAGTGCTCCATGTCTTTGCGGTGTTACGCCCTCAAGTTGGCAGTGATCAAGACATCCATGTCTGCAGATTTCAACTTTGCACCGAATATGTACACTGAGAGCGTCGGGGAATTTAAATGCGTGGAAAAAGGCGTAAGTTATAACTGTAGCTCTTTCATCTGCTGCTTTTGCCTTAAGGAACCTGTAAATTGATAAATATTAGACTATATAATTACGTTTTTTTATAACTGAGCAATATTGTGTGCAAGTACTAATACGATAAAGCAATAATAAAACGTTTCGGTGAATAAACTAAAACTTTCTACGGTTTATTTGCTAACATATTAAGGCTAAGAATATTGAATTTATAACATGATAAGGCATTCGCTATACTTGGATAGCCTATGTTAAACTGAGGCCTTTCCTCTTCCCCATCTTCGACTACATCATCATCATCAGGTGAGATGTTAATCATGCATTCGCCTGGAATAGATTAAAAACTCTTCGTACAATGGTATGTTAACTCATTCAATTTAGGTTTATTTTGGTCAATAATTTTAATGCAGTCGTAAAGGATGAGGTCTCTATGGTAATCATTTAGCGTTCAGCCTACATTACTTGAGATATATTAATAACACACTAGCGTGTGTTTGTAGACGAGCGATAAAAGGTGAAGAATTTTAAGTATTTTTCTCTATATACTTTTTTTGTAACAGTACAACTTGATAAAAGAAAGCTTCGAATCTAAAAACTCGCTGTAATTTTTTATCAAACATGAGCGACCCGGATTCGTAACTTATAAAATTGTTAATTGCAATCTTTAGTACTGATTATATTTATTGACTTTACTGAAAACATTGTGAGGAAACCTAAATGTCAGTGGAATGAAATACTGCATTTAATAGACGTGATAGTGGGTCGTGGATAATGTAAGAGGCAACACAGAGAAACAAATCAGGAGATGGGCAGCAGCGTCTTACTAATAACGAATAAAAATAAAAATAAACTGAGCTCATGCCAAACGTGGCAACTATGTCAAATATCCCCCTTATGAGGTAATTTATAGGAGAGGCCTATGTTCAGCAGTGGACTTTAATATACTGTAATGGTAATGGTAGTTGATGTGATGTCCAGCAACACACACTGGAGAAGCGTGAAGGACTAACTGGCCCATATCCTCTCTAAATAAGAAGACGCTTGTGCCTAGCAGCGGGAAAGTGTATATAGGACGTAACTTTACTTTACTATGATATCCTATGAAGCTTTGCTTACCTAGAAATCATTTTAGGGCGTAAGACACATCCGTATTCATCTGATAACTGAATAACGTGTCCAGAGCCATCGGAAGCAGCGCACGACTTTACTCGCATATCGAACTCACCTAAAAATAACGTTATTGAAATATTAAACACTTCAAGGCAGAAAAAATATATTAGGTATCTAAATAACAAACACTCCGGCGACCGGCGAAAGATCACGCTTTGCCTTTCGCGTGGTCTTTCGCCGGCCAGCATAAAGTAGCAGCTTAATACTGCTGTGTTTCCTATTGTGAGTGTAGAGAACCGGAGACACTTTTAACTCAAAACGAGGCATTTCTTCTTAGTTAATTTAGTTTCAGGGGTAATAACACAGCGCAAAGACGAAGCGTTTTGTCGTGACGCTGCTGGTACGCAACTTCGAAACCCGCATAGAAAAGGTTGTGTGTGTACTACAAATAATTGTTCATGTATGTAAACCGCCTCCACTTACAGGAGATAATGCTATTGTCGGGGTAACCTTTCCACTTAATAAATACTTGACAGTTAATTAACGTTAAACGTTAATTTGTGGCTAGATTTTAAATGAATACTGACCAAATAATGCAAGTAAGCCGCAAACATTTAACGCCTAACCAAACATACCTACATAAAGACGGAAACAAAGAACAAATATTCCATTAAACAACGCAAGCAAAATGAAGCTGTCTGAGTACAACGTCAGACTTTCTGTGAGCATTCTGATATTACAAACGACGCTGTACGAGCGCTAATATACTGCTCAAAGCACAACGCATATTTAAATGAAAATAATAGCTTTAGATCAAACATTTTCACGTCTATGTTTATAATGGCTAGGAGACAGTATCAGAGACTGACATTCACGACCCAACCACACCCTATTTAAAAAAAAAAAACAAAAACCAACAATTTTTTTACACAAATGCTATTCGAATGGGATTCGATCCTATGATCCGTAACGTAATATACAAATACTGAACTCAATGCCTAGTGGACGTTGTATTTTAATTTTTTTTATTATAATTTTACCGTTGAGGTTTCGTTTAGTCCTTTTCTTGTCGTCTTTTACTTTTTTTACAAAACGAAATGTAGTGAATAGATAGCTCTCTTATTTCGCCACCACAAGCTGTCTTGTTGGTTTGTGATCACGTGACTATTGAACATGAGGTTCCGGTTTCAATCCCGGATCAGCACAAAAAACAGTAACTGGGTTTTCTGTTAAAAAATTCTCTGAAGAAGCTTGGAGTCAGGAAGTGAGCGGTGTTTCACTTACGTGCCTCAGAAAGCAACAGAAAACATAAAAGTGGATAGTCATTCGCTAAGTTCTTAGAGTTGGTTGTGGAGCTTCGTAATCACACACAGGAAAGTCCTTTAAGTCCAATTTGTCTAACCGGTAGTTGTTCAAAATCGGTTTCATTTTACCCAAACTTTACGTTCGTTGTTAAAACCAGGCAATTGATATTTTTCTTACTTTCAACAAGGTTTTTTAAATTATAATTTAGCTTACAACGCTTATTTTAGGGCCCTCAACAATTTGACTAGAAGAACTATTTTGAAAACACTTTGTAAGGAACAACACGGAACTTAAGGTGTGTAACCTTAAAATATTTTACGTGACTTCGCCACATACTCGGTACAATGTTATATTACAAGGTGAAGAGTGAAATGGTAATTTTAACTTTTAAAGATTTACCTACACAACTTTAAAGCAACGCGTACATTCAAACACAAAATGTTTAGTAAACATAAATTATTTAAATATTTTTTATGATTTAATAAATAGATTTTTTGGAATTTAAACCTTGGGAATTGAAAAAATAACTTAAAATTAAATGACAATGATCCTTAAACTTCTAACGGGATGAATAATTTTACCGTGTCTACTAACTACCCTATAATATTGTCCATGGATTTCGTAAGAAGCAACAGAAGATAGATTTAAGGTGGTCTGGCCTGGCCAGCATTATTGGAAAATTTTGAGTGAACCCGCCACGCTAAATATGAATAGAAGAATATATCCTCACTGAGGTAAGATTTTATAAATATAACTAAACATATATAAACAGCATCATAAACGTTGACATCAAGTTGACTCAGTTTTGTAGGCTGCAGTATGTTATTGCGGTATATAATTTTCATCAACAGGCGATATGTTCCAGAGGTTGATGACGTTTACAATTGAAATGGCATTGGCAGTTTAGAATCAACTTACAGCTTAACATGTGCTTTGTCTTTAAAAGCGTTCAAATAAACGTTAAATTTTAAGAGCTTGAGTGTGGTGTGCAAGATTTTAAACTATTTATATATATTCTTGTTTGACACTGCCAATGGTTATGAAATTAATATTTATAAAGTTATCGAAATTATTATTGAAACAATTGTATTGTAAAAAATCCAATATTTATTAACTGAAATTGCTTAACCTAATATATTATTCAAATAGTATACATAACATAAAGGTCTAATCGAATACAAAGCAGTATACTATTATTATCGCAAAAACATTTCATTTAAAAAAGCCGATGACTTCTAAGCTAGTCAGCCTCCCACGCAAGCTAGTACGTAAGTTATTAAACTTATTTAAGACAAAAATCATTCAACGTGGTTATTAATGCTTGTAAACATTGACCTTGAGACTGCTGGATGTACGACTACGCCATACCTTGTCCTTACGCTCATAGCTCGCTCGGCTCGGGGCCCGTTAAACCAACTCATTCGAACGTATTTGTCCAGTCCACTTTTTACTATTCTACGTACCGTTAACGTGTCTGTTTGCACACTATTATTACCCTGTTAGAGACGGTTTCGCAAGTTTTGGAGCTCGTGTGACGAGTATTCCTGAGAAAATTGCTTGTTGGAATTTTTATTCGTACTGCAAGATGTTCTTAAATATTAAAATATAAATATTAATACAATCTTGTAAAAAAATATCTAGTAAGGAAATTTATAATGATATTATATACCATATATAAAATTATATTGTATATATATATATATATAATGTATAATATATATAATATACATCCTACATAATTTATATGATATTATGTAAGAAATTAAGCAAGATTCAATAGATTTCATTTAAATATTGAATATATATGTATATTAATTCCTCCTCCAAAATCAAATTATTTTAATATAGTTCGCTTATGATTTAAACGCAGTTTTTCCTTTTTTGCTTAAAATAATCTCCGCCCTCTTCTTAACTAGGACTTTCTACCGCATCTTTGAGGCATTTTACTCATATAAATTATATATAGTCAAACATCTAGACATGGAACAATTCTTTGTAGGCAATTTATATAAATGTTCCGTGCGGGATCCGAACCTCGTCATAAATAGTTCACCCATTTCTTAGTTGAATTGAAAACATGGTGTAAAGGTGGCAACCGAATAAAATCAATTTATGAACGACTAAAACCGCAAATACAATTAGGCGCAACAAACTACTATATACAAGCATACCGGCCGCAAATTTTGTAATTACGGCCATAAAGCGGGCCAGCTTACAGCGACTACCGTAAAAAATACAAAACACTGTACCAAATTTTTGCTAATTTAATTTCGTTAAACATGGACATTAGATATTAAACCATTCGTATTTCCTCCTGTTAATTGATATATTAAGTATAAGTGAAAAACTAAGGACTGAGAACGCTGTTTTATTACAATGTCACTTCTCTTATATCGCCACTGAGTGTAGTGGAGGCTTAAGATAATCCACTACCCAACATAATCTCATACTCACGGAACAAATATTTAATAAGCGTTCTATATTTAAGTGTTGTCCATATGCATGTTATAGAGAGAGATAAGACTCAGATAAAATTTCTAGTGTAAAAGAGTTCAACGCGTTTCTTATTAAAATATTTTTAATTTATTGCATACTCATAGCTAAATTTATGCTATACGAGTTAGGTCAATATAAAATTCTATAAATTTCTACATCCTAGGTTTCTAATAGCTTATAATAGATGAAGGTTTAGGCTGAATAAAATACAATTAAACTTTTCTCTTTCTAAAGAAAATATCTAAATACCGATTTGCATTAAAAAATGTGTTTTTCCACATATTAAAGCATTGGACTTTAATGAGCAAAATAAACACAAAACTTAGTAGCCCGTAATATATTCGAAAAGAGTAAAAAATGCTACTAAATATGTAAAAAATCCAAAAGAGGAATAACATGCGTGAGAATTTCGAAGTACTAAGCTACGTGGGTGAAAACAAACGTCACTTTCAACTTTCGACCAGGTTCTATCGACCTTTGACGCTGCACCCATATTCATTATAACATCTTTCATTTCAGGCAACTTTCTTTAGTTCAGTAACTAACCAGTGTCTTATAACATATACAAACACCAATTAAAAGTAGGTATATATTTGTATACAATATCATAAATGTTCGTTTAAAATATACTTCATAAAATAATGTTTACATTTGAATCCTTCACACAATATAATAAACATCCAATACAGTAAGTTTTACGTAGTCATTGTGTTCTTTTCACATTTTAAAAGACTATTGTAAGCTCAAATTGTGCAAATGGAAAAGATCGTTAACTTTAACAAAATTAATTTATAATGAAAGCCTTGAAGCTTGATCTTAAATCTGATAGTGACGAATTGTAAGAGTTTGTTACTGATTTCGGATAACATTCATGTTTATTTCCATTAATATTTACGTGATTTTTATCACGATAATAATAATTTAATATTGATTCTAAAACGAAAAAAAAACAAATTTAAAAAGAACTGGTCCACTGTTTTGAGGGTCATCACAAGCGTTTTCACACCGCCAGATTGAATGAAAATAATTTTACAGACTGTATCGCGTTAAATTTTAAGAATGTGTAGTATTTCGTAAATATAAAAAAATCATTACGTGATTTACTGCAGTATATGTCTGTTTAACCAAATATGTGTCAATTAGCAAGCGCAGGTGGTAATATTTAGAAAAGTTGACATATTCCGCCTTACTAAAATAATGTTGTTTTAAATAATTTACCAATAGTATTGACACTATATATGCAATACTATCACACAAATGCTTAGTAAATCAGTGTTATTTCAACACTTTTTATTTATATACATTAGCATTTTCGGCCAATCACACATCTTCACAATAATTATAATTTATTAATAGTAGTTTGTTGCAAGCACTCTACATTTTTTTGTTCTTTCCATTGGGATATTAATCAAAGACTTGTCGAATTTTGAGATTAACTTTACTTGTAATTATTTCTTCTTCATATGTGTTAAACAAATAATAATATTTATAAAAAAATGAAGTTATTTTGGTCCATATAAATAGTAAAATCGATATATGGATAAAGTTGATTTTATTATTAATTAACTTTCAAAAATGAATAATAGATCTATTTCTAAATTTCCACACGTTGCGTATGTGTCACATGCTTCATTTTATTAACACTCATCAGAGTGCTCTATTTATCTGAGGTGGGCAAAGTTAATAATTGAACAATTTTTAAAAGTACTGTTCAGTACTCGTATATGCATATAATAAAAACATTTTTAAGACTTATAATGTAACCGTGTGGTGGCGACGTAATGCGGTGAAAAATCTAACATTGAATGTAATGAGGCGACTAGGGGGAAAGCAAAAGAGATTTCACGGCTCCCTATTGATGCTAGTATAAATATCTCATTTACGCACGTAAAATATCTAAAACGAGACTGGGGTCAGGTGTCAAAAATACGAATTGTCTGATTACTGCAATCGACAATATGTATTGCGAGCGTGGCGTTTATGGTAACCTTTCCCATAAAATAAAAGCCTACATCTAGCTAAAGGGCTGAAGAATAAAAAGAAAACTAGTGAGAGGTTAATACTAGAAATTAAGTACTTTTAACAAATAGTTTAATATGTTGTCGCTTGCAGCTACGAGAATATTTTGTAACAGAAGAAGACAGTGAAACGTTCGCACCTACAGTCTATCTAAATTTTGTTGGCGTCAATCAAATCTAACGGTGTAAGTTACAACTTATTATAATAACGAATTCCATACAACGGATTACGTGTTATATTAGAGTAGAAATTTAGATATCTAATAAAATTTACCGGTTCTCTGTAATATAGAACAAACCAAATTTCGGTCAAATATAATAATTTTACGGACACCAATAAAGATGATAACCTGTTATTAGTTTTATAAATTAATTATCTATTGCCTTAATTAATAAACAAACAACTAGTTTTTTCAATTATTTAATATATGTTACTAAATATACAAAAAAAAATAAAAAAAAATTTATTAGTTCGCAATCAGTCTCCCGTAGTCTACATTCCGGCCCTTCAGCGACAACTCACATGTAACTGAATGGATCCTTGCACTAGAGGGAGCGATCAAATTCGTCAAATCGATTTAAAAGTTTGCCATGTGGTGGTTATTTAACTAAATCCGTAAAAATGTGTTTCGTATAAAGCGTCTATGTAAATTCAAAAGAAACTAAAGAAAGATATCGAGGATAACAAAAAATTACGCTGTACGATAAACACACGAACAGTAAGCAGTTCGTAGGGTACGATACGTCTGGTACTACGGTTTACAATCACGCCTTTAGAGGGAGATTAAGGTAAATATTCCCCAAAATATAATTAAAGTCTAATGTGATAAAAAGTATAACTAGATTGCTTTCCTGAAAATAGGCATTAGGACATCTTTTTTGTTATTGTCAATCTTAGATCTAATATATAAAATTCTCGTGTCGCGGTGATTGTTACCAAATTCCTCCGAAATGGCTGAACCGATTAATATAAAATTTTGTGTGCATATCGGGTAGGTCTGAGACTCAGCCAACATCTATTTTTCAAACCCCTAAATGATAAGGGTGACCCAGCCCTAAATATTTTTTTACAAAAATTTTTATTTTTATTTTATTATGATTTAGAATTGAAAAATACATAAAACATCAAATTTTCACCCTTCTACGATCAACCCCTATTTTTTAACCGCGATGTTTAATACTAAAAAATATTTCCTAGAAATACGAGTAATGTATATGGCAAAACAACGTTTGCCGGGTCAGCTAGTTTTTTTATAAAATAAGGTTGACAAACGAGCACGCAGACATCGACATTTATTCTTGATTAAGAATCAAAATGCAAATGCGTTATCACCCCTGAGGACTAAGATGAAATGCCTCGTTTCCAATAAAAAGGGTCTCCGGTTCACTACACTCACCATATGAAACACAGCAACATTAAGCTGCTATTATACGCTGGTATTCCGTGAGCGCATGCTTCTATCCCATTCGAGCCGACCCATTCGTGCTAAAACCAAAATATAGCTAAACCGTGGCTCTACCATGTAAGCCATGTAAGATAAAATAGGATTCACAATAAATATTTCTATTGAGATAGTTCGGTCGTAAGTTAGTTATTTATATGCGTGATGGGCTAAGTCCGTTGCGTAATATATATAATTAAGAAAGAGTAACAAAATTATAAAACTTACCTCGATAATCGTTGATCGCTACGACCAAAGTTAACGTAGAACCGAGAGGAACTATTCCAGAGACTGGTGGCGCCCAAGGACCTTTTCCTGCTTGTATCTCCATCCAACAGTCGACGTTGTCGCCTAAAGAAATTCAAGTAAAATATATTTATTTTTATCAAGCTCTAACTCTGGCTTTTTCTTTAAGGATTTTTCTCCAGGATAATTTACTGCTGGGACAATGCTATTATTTAGCAATTGCCACACTTGGCGACTATTTTTTGCCCTAAAACTTTATTTTTGATGCGCAATAATTATTACAAGGGTTATCCTTTTACTAGATTTATATTTTTACCAAGTGGTAAGACTCCGTCACAGTTTAAAAATTTATCGGACTCTGTGCCATTTCTTACCTATATCTGTCACCGAGCATTGACACTATTGTGCTTTGAACACAGCAGTCTTAATTCATTGCTGGATGTAAGCCTATTAAGAATGCCCTAATAGTCATACTTATAACTTTGGCTATAAACACAACAATAGCTTTATGTCTTTTGACATTATGAGGATATGTAGTCACATTTCTCTTCTATCCCAGCAGTGCATAGTAAAATATTGATGAAAATAAAATGTGGTTTTTGAAGCTACTCTAATATGAGGACTTAATCTTATTAACCTTTCTTTTCCATATATTCTGATTACAACTACACAGCTAACTATACGATAATTTATGACATTTACTGGACTTGAAAAAAATTATATTATCGTAAATAACTTCTAAGTTAAAACAGAGCTATTTGAGATTTTTTTTGTATAAGCGTCATAGAATGAAAACAAAATAAAAATGAACCCATAATTCACTTTCAAGTAAAAAGAGAAAGAAAGCCAAAAATATATGATGAAAAAAAATACAAGAAATTTTACAGCAATTGGTGAAAGGAACCCTCGTCAGCAGAAATCATAAACGGAGAAAGCTCAAATCGTCACAAATAGGATCGTGATATGTATATAATATTATAATAACGTAAATGTTCCCTTGCAAGAACTTACCTCTAAAGTCCAGTTGCACGACGTCTAAATCAGCAATAACCATCGGGGGTTTAGATGCAGTTTTCTCATAATCGTTGAACCATTCGCAACGCAATCGCTTCGCCTCATCCCACACCTCGAGCAAATCTTTGTCATACTGCACCACTACTGTGTTCTCATAAAACTGCCCGTGGAGGTCTGAAATAATAAACAGAAGTGATAGTTGGTTTAAACCATTTGAAAACATAAGAAATACAGAAATAAAGTTTGTTAAAGTGCGATTGTTGGAATACGCGTTCCGCTTAGGCATTGCCGATCATATGGCTCCAATTATTCCTAAAGTTTATAGACTAGTAGTGGCTATAGGGTTTGTTATAATTTTAGTTGAAAGTGTTATATGAGAGATATAACAAAATGCAGTCGTCTTCTCTGAAAGGCATATTTTAATTGTTTGCAATATTATTTATATTGGTATTATATAATTTATTTAAGCTTTTGACATTATGTACAATTTAATTTGATTTTAAGATATAATCGCACACTGGTAAAACTCATGGTAGAATATTATTGAGACTTACTCTAATACTAAATATCTGTATTACCTAAACACTTTATTCTACAAATAAAGATTTTGACTTTAACTTTGACTTTGAATAATAAAAAAATGACCCACTACCGTTAAAAAGTTCTCGAATCTCGTCACATGCCATTACGTTGCTATTTTACACTGTTAATCTGTGACAACTTAATATTTCCCCAATCGAGTAGGCATTTAAAATTTAATATTTTAAAGGATGGTCGAAACTAATAATGTTAGTTTCAAAAATAGACTTTTAATAAAACTTAAAAAGTGGCTTCAAAAACTAAAAAGAATTTAATAAAATCTTTTTAAATTTTGAAGGTTTAGATATTGATTTTCATGAGTATCTTCATGAAGACAGCTGAATCAAAATAACGAACTGCGGTTACCATCAGGCAATCTATAAAGGATACCAATGTTGTAAACCACTAAAACAAATAATTTGTATTTGCGGTTTACAAATAATTTTTCCTTTTGGGAATCTATAATATGAGAATAATAATTGTATTAATTGTGAATTTTCTTTAACATACAAATAAGAATTATTTTTTTAATCCTTATTATTACTAGGGCTATACGCGGATGAACTCGCGCAAAAAGTGGAAGTCGTCCGAAGAACGCGGATCGAAGACAAGTCTCTCGGTCGACGCTACACAAGCGATAATGAATCTTAAAAGCTTTCAATCGCCTCCCTTTTAATACCGCGAATCATTAGGACAGTATTATCGCAAAGCGATGGATACGGCTATCATATCCGAACTCTATTACCAACGACATAAAAAGGATTTCGAATTCTACCATTTAGTGTTTGCAGGAAGCACACAGGGTAGAAAGTCGCAAATAGTAAGTTTCTTCGGGAAGGAAATACTTCAGAGTATTGGATTCAGGGATGGCGTCTCTGAGGCGGCAATCACGGGAAAATATGCCTTACACGCCTATGTTATGCGGTCTGGTCGGGTGGCGATTCTAAGAAACAATGCTCACTCTACGTTCGCAGAAAGAGCGGGCCTCTCTGTCCGTTACATACACTAGCCATAGTGGACATAACTAGGAATCGAAACGAGAAAAACTCACTTTACTTTCTTGAAATGAGACCGAAGAGCAGTATAAGTTTCCTAAGGACGGTTTATTGGAATATTGTTAGGAATCGTTGTGATTATGAGATAAATAATTTAAACAACATACAAAAATTAATATTTTAATTAATTTCATTCAATCGATTATTATTTTAGAATCCTTGTCTTTTTTCTAAAATACAAAACTGATATTTCAGTACGCGATCAAAACAAGCGTTATCCCAACTAACGAAAGTGTTAATAGCAATTTTTTAGCAAATATTTCTATGAATACTATATTTTAAGTGTTAATTTACTATGTACTGGGTGTTGAAAGAAAACATTGTGAAAATCTCTGATAGGTGACTACATATTTGTGCCATTTGCTTTAGAGACTATCGGACCAAAGAGCCCTACGATGAAGTTCCTAAAGAAACTGAAATACGCGACATGTCATCGTTGCTGGTGATAAGAGGGCTGGATCTTTTCTCACTAAAAACGTTTTTGGCACTATACTTAAACTAGAACTGTTTGATTATTTAACTTTTTAGTTTTAGTATTATTAAGGTAATAAATATAATATACTAGCGATACACCCCGGCTTCGCGCGGGTGATTTTTGGATCTCGGCAACAGCGCTGCCTACCGGGTACAACTGTGAATCTATACCATTCAGAGGGCCCGTGAATGGTATAGATTCACACTTAAAAAATTAACTTACACACACTTAAAAAATTACATCAAAATCGGTCCTGTCATTTTCGAGTTTTTGCGAGACTAACTAAATGAATTGTTACGTATTAAGATTTTAATATTATTAAATAAACGATTTTAAGGTCATGTAAAGTTCACCATCACTTATTGGGTTAACACGACGGATTCTATTCTGCTTTAAAAGTTATCTCAAAAGTAATATTACTCGTAATTTACTTCTAAAACATTAGCACTTAAAATTTGCAATTTAAATCAATATTTTTTTATTTAACAGTCACGGACTATGAGAAAGTATTTAAAATAAAAGTTTTCCGCTTTCAAGTTAATGTGAATTTATATATACTAAAAGCAAATTCGAGGTCGTGGGAGACACACTGAATAGACGGGTTTATCTGCTTCAATAGATTAATCGGTCACGAAATAACGACAAGCTATGAACGGTCACACAATCCTTAAAGGGTAGGGTTATTTTGTATAATGGTAAATTATGAAAGCACTTTCATACCTTCATGTTATATGCGATTGTGTGCTGATGAAATTAGCCCACACTTTCTTCAGTAATTAAATAAATTCATTTTATAAATAAATAAATAAAATGAAATATTATTTTACTTAAGGAAAGAAATGTAAGGTTATATACATATAAATTATAATTTAAGGAAAGAAATTCACTGTGCTATTAATATCTGAAAGGTACAGAGTTATTCGTTATGAAGCAATTAGTTCAGCCGCGCTGCTTCAGTGTGTGTTAGTAGACTTCACATATTCTCCAAATTTCTTCACCAATGAGCACGTGGTAAATCACTACTTAAAACGAGCAATTAATCCCTGAGGTATCACGTCAGTTTATACGGATTTTATTGTTAAATATTAACACTGCAATTCTATATTACCAAAGATAATATCCTCCGATGTCTACCAGTTTAAGTATAATCAAAATGCTTATGAAGCCTATATTTTTATTTTTATAACATACTAGTGATATGCCCCGGCTTCGCGCGGGATATTTCTGGATCTCAACAACAGCACCACCTACCGGGTCTAACTGTGAATTTTAACTATCTAGGAACTCACTCAAACAAACACAAAAACCTTCATCAAAATCCGTCGAGCCAGTTTCAAGATTTAGTTCTATAAAAGAGATTTGGTATATAATACCTTGTGACCTTGTGTAAGTATAGAAGTATGTATGTTAAGTACTATATATTATACATTATGAAATATAGGTTTGGTCATTGATCGACAAGGACTTTATAATCTCTATACATAAAAATCACTTGTTGTCTGTTAGTATCACTAAAACTCGAAAATGTCTCGGCGGATTTTGATGAATTTTTTTTGTCTGATTGAGTGAGATCCCTAGATGGTTTAGGTTCACAGTAACAGAACAATTTCACAATTCTGTGCGAAGCTGGAGCGGATCGCTAGTTTGAGTTAAAGATTACTAATGTTATGAAAAAAACTAAAAATAAACTAAAGATAATTTATGTTAAAGATAATTAAAGATAAGCCAAATTAATGCTTCACCTGTCACGTAAGTGGCGAGCCCGGACGGTTCGACAAAAAAGAAATTGACTTCATTATGACGACTAGACGGCAACTTTTCAGTGAAGTCTCAGTGATTGCGAGGGTGAAAATCAGCAGCAATCACTAAATGGTGAGAGGCACACTGAATCTAAACGTTAAGTTGGAGAGGTCACGTCTAATGAAGTAAACGCTCCCTCTTGCTTTAATCCAAAGTCCCGAAAAGTTTCAGCACGAGTTACAAAATCGTTTTATATGCCTAGAATATTGCAATGCAGAGGACGATATGAAAGACAAGCTCGTGGAAACTGTCCATGCGTTCGGAGCTCAGTTATGCAAAATCAATCGCTGCAGAACACAAAAACTCTCAGCTCACACTCTTAATCTCATGGCTGTTAGACAGGAAATAAAGCTGCAGTCTTCAGCAGATTTAACAGCTTACAAGCAACTGAATGGACAGATCTCGCGGCGAGACTTATGCAACTTCAATAAAGCTCGTATTGAAAAAGTGATTGGGCGGAATCAGGGCTCCAAAGTCTTTGCCTGAGATCTATCTACCAGAAAGAATTAACTGCCGAAGCTGAAGACCAAATGTGACAGCATCGTTTCCGTGACACATGAGATTTTGAGAGAGATTGAGAGGTTCTATGGGCAGAGAGGTTCTATAACGATCCAAGAGCGAGTCTTATCCGGTACTTTTCCGAAGATATTCCGGACGTCAGTCTGAGGCAAGGATGGAAATACAGCGGTGTTTCTGAAAGCGGTTGGGCAAACCGGTGCTTGAAGTCCTTCAGAAGCTCTTTAATTCCGTCTTCCATGGTGGCACTACACCGGGAGCGTGGGGCAGAAGTGCAATGGTCTTGTTCTTCAAGAAAGGCGACATCACTCACTTGAATAACTACAGACCAATTTCCCTTCTGAGCCGCGTCTACGTGCTGTTTTCGAGAGTCACTATGAATCGTCTCGCACGCAGACTCTGCGACTTCCAGCCTCCCAAACTAGCTGGTTTCCGAAAAGGCTTTAGCACTTTAGACCATATACGTACCCTTCGGCAAACTGTACAGAAGACCGAAGAGAACAATCTGACACTTTGTCGTGCGTATGTGGACTATGAGAAAGCCTTTGACTCCGTCGAAATTTTGGCGGTCCCTTCAGCGGTGCCAAGTTAAATCTCGATTTATAGAAATGCTGAATTGTTTGTACAGTAGTGCTACGATAGTTATCTGATTACAGAACCAGAGTACGAAACCTATCGAGCTGCAAAACGGTGTAAGACAGGGTGACGCTATATCCCCGAATCTCTTCACCGCTGCATTGGAAGACTTT